GGAGTGATGAGAGACAGTGACCGATCATCAGGCATTAGATTCTCGTGAGAAGCACGCAGCCTAGATCCTTCACCTGTACAGTTCACAATAGGGTTTGAGCTCCTATGAGAATCTGATGCCGCTGCTGCCGACCTAACAGGAGGCGGAGCTCAGCTGGCAATTCAAGTGATGGGAGTGATTTTAAATGCAGCTGAAGCTTCGCTTACACCACTCACCTCCTGCCATGTGGTCAGGTTCTTAACAGGCCACAGACTGGTGCTGGTCCATGGTGTGGGGGTTGGGGACCCCTGCACTATGGAGCTGACCGTTGGGAGGGCGGCCAGACTGGGAGGGCAGTAACAGGAACCCTGGGTCCCCATCTTGGCTTTGTCACCAGATTGCCGAGCAACCTTGGACAAGTCACCTAGCCTTCTCTGGCTGATGGGAAATACCACGCCTGTACGTCCTTATTCCCTCTTTCCCAGGGCAGCAGTGGAGACAAAGAGGACAGACTCCTGAGTCCCATCTAGATGTAATGTATCATTGATGATACTGCTTACACAATAAATCCTGCCCTCACCAGAGTGCTCAGTGAGTGGGTAATTCTGGTTAATTGAATGTTCTGGGACATGGAAATGTTCCCAGAAATCCTTTTTGTTCTTTTTGTGGCTGTTGAAACCCATCCACTCATCTATTCAGCACATGTTTGTCTCGTGTCTGTGCTGCACCAGGTTCTGGAGCAGGTGCTGGGGATACCACCCAGAATCAGACAGCAGACCAGCCTCCGTGGACTCACAGTCTGGGGGGAAGACGGGGCAAACATGCCACCACACGTGGTAGGCTGTGCACACTGACCAGGGAATGCAGGTTGTGTAGGGGCATGGGCCCAGTGCGGGAGTCCTTGGGAAGAGCTCCCTGAGAAGGTGCTATTTATGTTGACAGCACTGAAAAGCAGTTAACTGTAGTGTCTAGGGATGGACTAGTCAGAGGTATTCCAGCCAAGGGCAAAAGCTCAGAGAAATACCTGTGCATTCATTTGTGCTGTGGAGCTTAGAATGTGCAGCTGGTGCAGGGCATGATGGCTGACACCTGTAATCCTGGCATTCTGGGAGGCCAAAGTGGGAGGATCATTTGAGCCCAGGAGTTCAAGACCAGCCTGCTCAACATGGCGAAACCCCATCTCTACAAAAAAATACAAAAATTAGCAGAGCATGATGATGCATGCCTGTAGTCTCAGTTACTCAGGAGGCTGTGGTAGGAGGATCACTTAAGGCTGGGAGGTGGAGGTTGCAATGAGCTGAGATCGCATCATTGCACCCTGGCTTCAGTGACAGTGCAAGACTCTGTCTCCCCCCGCCCAAAAAAAGAAAAAAAAGAATGTGTATATGGGGAAGTGAGAGCTAAGATGCACGTACATGTCAGGAGGGCAAGAGTACGTGAGGATGTGGCCTTCTGAGGGCCAGCCTGGACTGTGAGGGCTGCAGGTTTATTTCTTTTCCAGCATGTGTTTCTTGATACGATTCTTTTTTTTTTTTAAATTATTATTATTTTTTTGAGACAGAGTTTTGCTCTTGTTACCCAGGCTGGAGTGCAATGGCACGATCCCGGCTCACCGCAACCTCCGCCTCCTGGGTTCAAGCAATTCTCCTGTCTCAGCCTCCCGAGTAGCTGGGACTACAGGTGCGTACCACCATGCCCAGCTAATTTTTGTATTTTTAGTACAGACGGGGTTTCACCTTGTTCACCAGGATGGTCTCGCTCTCTTGACCTTGTGATCCACCTGCCTTGGCCTCCCAAAGTGCTGGGATTATGGGTGAGAGCCACCACACCCAGTCAGTTCTTTCTTTTTTTTTTAATTGCATTTTCGGTTTTGGGGTACATGTGAAGAAGATGCAAGATTGTTGCATAGGTACACACAAGGCAGTGTGTGATTTGCTGCCTTCCTCCCCATCACCTATATCTGGCATTTCTCCCCATGCTACCTCTCCCCAACTCCTCACTCCCCGCTGTCCCTCCTCTATTTCCACAAGCAATGGGGAAAGGAGTCCTTGTTTAATAAATGGTGTTGGGAAAACTGGCTAGCCATGTGCAGAAAGCAGAAACTGGACCCCTTCCTGACACCTTACACTAAAATTAACTCCAGATGGATTAAAGACTTAAACATAAGACCTAACACCATAAAAACCCTAGAAGAAAACCTAGGTTGGAGGTTGCAGTGAGCCGAGATCGTGCCACTTCATTCCAGCCTGGGTGATGGAGCAAGACTCTGCTTCAAAAAAAAAAAAAGTGGAGAGTAGAGGAAAAATGAAATCAAAACACTAAATCACAGAGGAGAGGCCTCAAAGTCAGAGGCGTGACAGAGGGCTGAGAGGGACGTTGGCAAGGGGAGAACATAGCTGTGTCTAAAGGGCCACCACTCCTGGGGGCCTGCAGAGTGTGGCCCTGTGGAAATGTGGACCTGGCATTACCAGATCTTCAGATTTGTTAAGAGAGGCTAGAAATCTGGCTTTTTATTTCATTTTTTTTCAGAGGCAGGGCCATGCTAGTGCCTAGGCTGGAGTGCAGTGGGGGCGATCATGGCTCCTGCAGCCGCAAACTTCTGGGTTCAAGTGATCTTCCCACCTCAGGCATCTGGGTAGCTGGGACTACAGGCATGCACTACCACATCTGGCTAGGTTCCTTTTTTTTTTTTTGAGAGATTGAGGGTGGGGGGGTGCTCTTCCTATATTGCCCAAGCTGGTCTAAAACTCCTGGCCTCAAGTGATCTTCCCACCTTGGCCTCCTAAATTGCTGGGATTCCAAGCCTGCGCCACTGCTCGTGGCTGCAATCTGACTTTTTATAGGAAATCTCCCAATGATTAAATGTTGGCAACTAACAACAACAACAAAATCAATGTGGGCAAAACAAAATGCTTCTGCAGACTCAATTTGTATTATAAGCAGATGGTTTGCAACCCTAGACCCAGAGGGTTTTATTGATAAGTGTTCGAGGGTGTCCTTTAGAATCCATTACGATCCTCTAAAGAGTGTGCCTGTAACCTGTGCTGGGCTCTGAGGGCACGATGGGGGTCTGCGGCGTGGCCACTGACCTCAAGCCTGGATCAGAGCTGCCCTCAGGCTAGATGGGTCCAAACAGTTATGTACCCAGAGCCAACTTACAACAAAAGGATTAGGTGCTTTGGAGCTCAGAGGAGGGGGAGGTCAGGGAACAGAGGAGGCCTCCTGGGGATTCTGGGTCTTGTGATCGCTCTGGGAGGGGAGAGTAAGACTTAGTACACCAAAGAAGGTACTCAAACATTTTGGGATCAGATGGGAAATAAGATAATAAAGGAGTCCAGGCATGGTGGCTCACACCTGTAATCCCAGCACTTTGGGAGGCTGAGATGGGATGATCTATTTAGCCCAGGAGGTCAAGACCAGCCTGGACAACATAGTAAGACCACCATCTTTACAAAAAAAAAAAAAAAAAAAAAAAAAAATTAGCCAGGCATGGTGGCCTGTAGTGCCAACTACTTGGGAGACTGAGGCAGGGGGATCGCTTGAGCCCAGGAGTTTGAGGTTACAGTGAACTGATTGTACCAGCCTGAGCCACAGAGCAAGACTCAGTCTCTTAAAAAAAAAAAAGAAAAGATAGCCAAGGAAGTGGGTGGAGTAAATTGTGGAAGACTGCAATGCAGGTCTGGGGGTGTACTTGGCTCTGGCTTTGACAGCAGGACCCCAAAGTCCATGTTCTGGTCCAAAGCTTAATGCCACGAGCCCCGAGGCCACTCAATGGACATCAGAAGTGTTCTTCCTGCTTTGCTAGCATCCCGCAGACTCTCCTGTCTGCTGTCCTGCCATCATTTATTCACACCAGGACAGAGGCCGTGCCTGTTGTGTTCACTGATGTCTCCTGGGGGCCTAGGATGCCATCTGGAACAGAGTAAAAGTGCTCAAAGACTATCTACTGCCTACTTACAATGAGCCAGTGCTGCCCTAGCCCGGGGCTCAGGAGGACTCTATGGTGCCTGTGTTCTTGTGTGGAGAGAGACAATAAACAAACCAACAAGTCGGTGAATAAGATGATTTCAGAGCGTGGCCTGTGAGGCTTGTCTCACTGCACTGTAGCCGTCTGTTTATCTGCATCTTCTCCTAAGCCTATGAGCGCCGAGGGGGCAGGGCTGGGTCTGTCTGGTTCCTTGTTTCATTGGTAGCCCCTGAGGCTGGTGCCTGACAAATAGGGAGTAGTAAAAAAAAAAAAAAAAAAAATGTTTTTGCCGCCTGTAGGCTGTGAGGAACACGAGCTGAAAATGATTTCAACCTTACGTGCACCTGTACCCTTTGGAAGCTGCAGAACTTATTATCAACCCAGGAGTAATTGCTGATAAGCCCACGTGTGAATTTCCTTGCAGATAGAGAGGTAGCGGGGGAGTGTTTAACAACAACGGGGATAATCTTAATTAGTGACCTGATAACTGTAATTAATTGCATCATATCCAGAGGCCCTCTTCGGAATTTTAGGAGGGAGTACCTAGTGTTTGGCAGCTTTGGGGCTGCAAAGGCAGAGGAGTGCTAGGATCTCAGCCCCAGCACTTTGATGCTTAGTGAGCTTTGCCAAGTTACTCACAGTTCTGAGCCTCAGTTTTCTCCTGGGGAAAATGGGGCTACATCACTAGGGTGTTGCCAGTCTCAAAGCCGCCAATGCCTGAACCCACCAGGGTTGTTCTTGGAGGTTAGGGTGCAGGGCTGCAAGGCTGCCCTTGTTGCCATGGCGTGGGGGGAGGGGGGACAGGAGGGGGCCACCGAGACTGGTTGGGGGGAAGGTCACTCAGGTTTCCCCTGGGGCGGGCAAAGGAATCTCTCACCCTTTTGGGGGAACCTCAGGGCAAGAGGTTGAAGTGAGGGAGGAGAAGCTGGCACCCCATGCGCCCGTGCCTGCGGGATCTCCCTGCGGGGGAACTGGGAAGGGAGATGGTGTGTGGGAGCTCCGGGTGGGAGAAGTAGGAGGCGGGAAGCGGGACGCCGGGTGGGTGACGGAGCGAGGAGGTCGCCCTGTGGTTCGGACCCAGCCCCATTACCGAGGGCCTCAGTCCCCCCTGTGCTGTGGGGGGCTGGGTGGGCTGCCAGGACCGCTCGGGGCTCGCGGCGGGTCAGGGAGTTCCGGTCTCCCTCGCAGCGTGCTCTGAGCCCGGAGGGGGAGCGGCGGCCCCGGCCCCGGCCACCAGGGGTTAAGCGGTGACCTCAGCCGCGGCGCCCCGGGACCGGGCGGGCGGGGGCGGCGCCGCATCTCTCGGCGGCGGCAGCGGGACCAGGCCTCGGAGCGCGGCAGGCGCGGGCGCAGTCCCGGTGGGTGGGCGGGCGGCGCGGCCATTGGCTCGGGCGGCGGCGGCGGCGGCGGCGGTGGGGGCGCCGTCCCGGCCATGGGCGCCCGCGGCGGCCTGTGGAGCTGGAGGCGCGGCACCGGCCGCCGGGCGCCTTTGTGAGAGCGGCGCGGACGACAAAGGCGCGGCCCGGGCGGCCCAGGCGGGTGAGTGAACGGGCCGTGGGCCTGGCCTCCGTGCGATCCTCGCGTGTCCTGAGTCTGCGAGTGCGGGGGAGGCGCTCCAGGCACCGGGGTCATCCCGGTGTTCGGGGTGTCGCTGTGGACCGGCGGGGGCCGTGTCCGCCGCTGTGTCCCGGTGTCTGGGTGTGAGAGCCCCGAGCCCGCCTCTCCTCTCTGTGTGGGTCTCTCCTGTGTCACTGGAGTGCTGGTTACCAGGGCGAGTGGCCTTTGTGCTTCAGCCCGTGAGTGTGAGTGTGTGTTTGGGGGCGGGGAAGGGGCTCCAGCCAGTTGGGGTCAGGACAGTTTGGGAACCCCCGCCCCCACCCTGTGCCTCACTTTCCCCTGTGGTCCACCTCCTCCTGCGCTGGTTTTGGGGGTCCCCAGGATCGGGTGAAGTCAGGGAGTACCCCTGTCGCCTCTGTTGTGAGTCAGCCTCTCCCACCCTGGACCCCCGCCCAGAGGCGGAACTGGACAGCCTCCCGCAGGAGGTGACTGTGGGAGGAGGGGATGCCGGTCAGCCGGAGGCCGTGGCTGCAGAGCTGGGCCAGTCCTGTATCCTCCCCGGAACAGGGACATGTGTCAGGGAGGGTCCTACTGAAGATGAAGACCAGCTTCCCTGGAGTCCCTGGGATGGCCTCTGAGACTGAGCGCAGGCCTGATTGTAGGGAGCGTGTGGACAATTCTTCCTCCCTTTCCCAAAGCGGGGCCTTGGGGCAGGGCTCTTGAATCTTCCTTTGGCCCTGAAAGCCAGGAGGCCCTGCGTTCTTCAGTGCCAAGCAGAGAGGTGGTGGCTGGTGGGCTGCACTTCCCACTGGCTTTGGAGCTCAGCTACTGCCCCAAAGTCCTTGGCTTCCCTTAGGGATGCTACTGGGAAGCCACGCCCCTGGCTGGGAGCCCCATCTGCTCCTCCTCAGATTCTGGGGAGTGAGGGCAGGTTGTGCAGGCTCATTAAAATGCACAACTCTTCCCGGCATCCCCTGAGCAGTGCCCCCAGTGGTGTTCAGGCCCTGGGCACAGACTAGAAAGCAGGTCAGCCTCAGGAAATCTCCAAGCTCCCTGTGACTGTGGGGTAGAGACTGCCCTTCACCTTCTTGGGCCCTCAGGGTGAAGCTCAGAACTTCTTGTAAGGCTTCCTGTGGTGCTGGAATCTGATGCTCACTCTGCCCCCAGGCACTTGCCTTCCTGATGTCCCCTGTCCCTTCCCCTTCCACCCAAGACCTTCTGCTGGCTGTTCTCACTCTCCAGGAAGTGGGTCCCATCCTTCACCTCTCTGATTTCTCACTCAGGAGCTACTCCCTCTTCAGTGAGCCAGGCAAGCCCCAATGCTCTTAGGGTTCTTGCCTAAGTCGTGGGGGCAGGGGGCTTTTTTACATCTTCCAGTGGAGCAGGGACCATGTCTGTCCTTGATCACAGCTCAGAACAGTGCCTAATGCATAGTGGGTGTTCTACACATAGTTGCTGAATCAATGAATGGCCAACAACTAATGGTTCCTAAGTTCTGTTCCAAGTTTTAACTCTGGAGAAATCTGGGGAGTGGGGAAAGCTGGTGGACTGCTCTGGGGTCCAGGTACCAGGCTAGTATAAGAGGAGGTTGGGTGCCGTGGCTCACGCCTGTAATCCCAGCACTTTGGGAGGCCCAGGTGGGTGGATCACTTGAGATCAGGAGTTCGAGATCAGCCTGGCTAACATGGTGAAACGCTGTCTTTACTAAAAATGCAAAAATTATGGCCGGGCGCAGGACTCATGCTTGTAATACCAGCACTTTGGGAAGCTGAGGCAGGTGGATCACCTGAGGTCAGAGGTTCAAGACTAGCCTGACCAACATGGTGAAACTTTGTCTCTACTAAAAATACAAAATTAGCTGGGTGTAGTGGTGCATGCCTGTAGTCCCAGCACTTGGAACCTGAGGCGGGACAATCACTTGAACCTGGGAGGCGCAGGTTGCGGTGAGCCAAGATGGTACCATTGCACTCCAGACTAGGTGACAAGAGCGAAACTCCATCTCAAAACAGAAACAAAAACAACAGTTAGCCAGTATGGTGATGCATGTCTGTAATCCCAGCTACTTGGGAGGCTGAGGAGGGAGGGTCATGTGAACTCGGGAGGCAGAGGTTACAGTGAGCGGAGATTGTGCCACTGTGCTCCAGCCTGGGTGACAGAATGAGACTCTGTCTCAAAAGAAAAAAAAAAAAAAAAAGATTGAGCATGGTGGCTCATGCTTGTAATCCCAGCACTTTGGGAGGCTCAGGTGGGAGGATCACTTGAGCCCAGGTGTTCGGGACCAGCCTGGGCAACACAGGAGACCACATCTCCACAAAAAATTTTAAAAATTAACTGGATATGGTGGTGCATGCCTGTAGTCCCAGCAACTCAGGAGGTTGAGACGGGAGGATCACGTGAACCTGGGAGTTCGAGGCTGCAGTGAGCTGTGATTGTGCCACTGCACAATCTGCCCAAGTGACAGAGGGAGACCGTGTGGTAAAATATATATGAGGAACGTGTACTGTTACTTGGATTTATAATATATGCTGAGTACCAGGTGCTGGGCTAGATGCTTTAAGCATATACCTCTTATGCCCTGAGAAGGAACAGAGTGGAAAGAATACATGTAATCTTCTTAGGTTAATTTTGAAAAGATAAAGTAAGTGATATATATGCCATGATAAGATAATAATAGCGTGGATTTATATTGCACTTTCATATCTGCTATCTCTTTGTTTTGACAACACCCTAGTAATTAGGCAGAAGGCTGGGTTCATACCCATTTTACAGATGAGGAAGATGAGCACACAGCATTGAAGTGACTGCCGAAGCTCACTGCTGAGGCGAGTCCGTGAAGGAACCAACTCAGCTTGGGACCCCTTGGCCACTCAGTCCTTGCTTTCTTCTGCACAAGTGCCTCCACTGCCTTTTGCATTCCTGTCACCTAGCTAGACAATGGTGAACGAAATCACTGTTCTTGCCCTCAAGGGGTCTAAAGTCCAGGAGGGAATTAGGCTCTTTGACAATTGAGTGTGCCAAAGTTGTTCTACCCCATGGTGCCACTTTGGGCCCAGCTCAGTGCCTTCCTTGCCATGTGTCCCAGAGAGTTCTTGGTCTCTCCGCCTGAGTGGAGAGTATTAGAGCCATTTTCCTTCGGGACCCTGGTCTAAGGCAATGCCCAGGAGTGGCTGGTCCTTACAGAGCCTCTGCTGAGTCCTGGGCAGTGCTGAGTTGGGAGTCGGCTCATACCTACACTGAGGAGCTGATTGCTGAATTTTAGGAATGTTATGAGCTGGTTGTTAAACACAGCCATTATGAAAAATTTTGAGTATATACATTTGTCATTAGGTAAATTATATTATATATTTTTAGAGATGGAGTTTTCCTCTTGTTGCCCAGGCCGGAGTGTCATGGTGCAATCTTGGCCCACTGCAACGTCGCCTCCTGGGTTGAAGAGATTCTTCTGCCTCAGCCTTTGGGATTACAGTAGCTGGGACTGCAGGTGCCCACCACCACACCTGGCTAATTTTTTGTATTTTAATACAGATGGGGGTTTACCATGTTGGCCAAGGCTGGTCTTGAATTCTTAACCTCAGGTGATCCACCTGCCTTGGCCTCCCAAAGTGCTGGGATTACTGGCATGAGCCACTGTGCCTGACTGCAAATTTTGTATATATGTGTGTGTACATATATATACACACATACATTTTGTATATATATGTATATATATATACATACATATATATATATTTTTTTGAGATGGAGTTTTTGTGGCTCAGGCTGGAGTGCAGTGGTGCGATCTTGGCTCACTGCAACCTCTGCCTCCTGGGTTCAAGTGATTCTCATGCCTTAGCCTCCTGAGTAGCTGGGATTACAGGTTCCCATCACCACGTCTGGCTAATTTTTGTATTTTTAGTAGAAACAGCATTTCACCATGTTGGCCAGGCTAGTCTCAAACTCCTGAACTCAGATGATCTGCCCACTTCAGCCTCCCAAAGTGCTAGGATTACAGGCATGAGCCTCTGTGCCTGGGCCATAATTATATTTTATAAAATATAAATACTCAACTTTCTTTCCTAATTATTGTATTATATTTTATTATTACCTGTGCATTTGTGGTTATTTGCTGCTGTGTATGTGTATGTGTGTGTGTGTGTGTGTGTGTGTGTGTGTGTTGGGTGGTGTATTCATTCTTTTTCATACTGCTATGAGGAAATACCCAAGACTGGGTAATTTGTAAAGAAAAAGAAGTTAAATGGACTAACATTTCCATGTGGCTGAGGAGGCCTCACAGTCATGATGGAAAGTGAAGAAGGAGCAAAGACACATCTTACATGGTGGCAGGCAAGAGAGTGTGTTCAGGGGAACTGCCCTTAATAAAACCATCAGATCTCGGGAGACTCATTCACGATTACGAGAGCAGCATGGGGAAAACCCGCCCCTGTGATTCAGTTACCTCCCACCGGGTCCCTCCCATGACATTTGGGGATATGGGAGCTACAATTCAAGATGAGATTTGGGTGGGGACACAGCCAAACCATATCAGAGTGTGTGTGTGTGTGTGTGTGTGTGTGTGTGTGTGTGTGTTATGTACATAGTGGTGTGCTGCTCCATATCTCTTCTCAAATCCATTCAGTGATGTCATGTTGACGTCTTGAAGTTGGCCACAGTGAGAGTTTTTATACCACAGAAATTGGCAAACACTGCATATCAGAGTCTTTTCCCCTGAAGAGCCTGTTTACCAGCACACCACTGGGGCTCCAGCAATGAGCAACTCAGTCTCTTTCCTTGAACTTACATTTTGGTGTGATGCTGCTCTAGGACTGATCTTAGTGTCCTCATGGCTGAGGGGAAGCTGTGGGCAGGGCCTGCTGTGGGGATCGAGGTTGTAAATTGCCCTCAAATCGCAGGAGCTCTCCACTCCAGCATGCAAGTTGTTACCACGCACCAGCAAGAGGGGAAATGGGACAAGAAGGAGATTCGGTTAATTGAGAGCTGGCTTT